ATCCCCCGACAGACGCCAGTTTTGTGAATCGTGATTTATATATATCGGTCGCGATCCCTGCGCGTTGAAACGCCGCCGCACTTCACCGTTTTGCCGCTGCATCCTGTAAACCCGCGGTGGGGTTTTTTTTGTTTTTTCCCTCCTGAAATCTGCACCGCGCGCATTTAATGCTCGCACTTGTGCATTGGTTTTTTTTTACGCCGATTTTGCTCGGGTCGCTGGGTTCTCCGTGGCACGGTGCCCCGTAACCGCTGACGGCACCGCTCCCTCGTCCCCGTGGTCGAGTTGGCGCACGTGTCGGCGCGGAGTGGCGAGATTGAGGATCGTTGCGAATTTGCGCGCTTTTTGACCTGTACAAGGTGCATTTCTAGCCCCGCTTGATAGTGAAGCCTGTTAATATGTCCTCGACTAATAGGTTGTCAATTAATGATGCGCCAGATTTAATGAATAACTTGGGTAATTTACTTTCAATTACGCGGAGCAGCTGGCTTGTTTACTCTCAAGGGGCCGAAAAGCACAATTGTGGCAAAGTCGTATCCGACCGTCTGACGAGTGTGGGGGGGGGGGGGAATGGTGCCACAGTGATTGGCACCACTGCTACTACGAGCGCAGCCAAGCCAGTTCCATTTCCGCTCGCGACCGATATCTGAGCCTGGGTTTTCCCTTAGGTTGACTGGGCCTTAAATGTGTACCTGGGGCCAGGGCGCGTCCATGGCGGGGGGTGGTGGTGGGGGGGGGGGGGTGGTGCGGGAGCCCCTGGGCAAATCCCACCGTGTGGTCCCCCCCCCCCACCCTACCTGATGCCTTTTAAACCACACCGTGGAAGTATTACACCGTGACATTGAAGCACGGGGCCCCCCTTCCCCCCCCCCCTCCCCCAAAGCAACGGGGCCCAGGGCAGTCGCCCCCGATTCGCCCATACCCTAGAGACGGCTCTGGCTGGGCCAGCGTGTAAACATCGCCTCCGGTGTGAGACAAAGGCGTCGGGGAGAAGTGCCGGCCACCCACTGCCTCGTGTGCCATGCCCGGCCATCATAGGTGCTGCTCGCTAACAGCGCTTGCCCCAAAAGTCTTGTAAAGGCCTTACAGGGAGGTGTTGAAAGCAGTTGGCGCACTGCGCTAGGAATCTGGCGAGCCGAGTTTAATTTTTCCTCGCAGACATCGTCGCTGCGGTGGCTAGGGGATGTTAACTCCCTCGCCCGGTATGCAGGAGGCCGTGGCTTCGATCACGACCCTGACGCCCGCTGTATAATTCTCCCCGTGGTCGCATGGATTTTTCTCCTTGTTCCTCCGGTTTTTACCTCCATATTTATAAACATGCATTTTTTTGATGATTTGGCTGTTACAGATTTCCACGTGATGAGCCAACTCCGTTGAGCTATCGGTTGCGGCCAGGTCGCTTCTGATAAAGAGCTACGCAGCTCAACATGGGACCTTACCTGGTCAAGTAAAAAAAAAACAAAGTTTAGTTTAGATTTAAAGCTTTCGTGACTGCAGTAATTCATATTCTTAGTTTTTTCGGTAAAGTCACGTTGAAGAGAAACAACAAAATAACAAAATATATATAAAACAATAAAAAATTCTCACGATGATGACCGTTTGAGTTATGGTCGAAACGTCGTGAGAATTTTTTATTGTTTTATATATATTTTGTTATTTTGTTGTTTCTCTTCAACGTGACTTTACCGAAAAAACTAAGAATATAAAGTTTAGTTTAGTTTCAGTTTATCATCGGTGACACGTTTCAACCCGTCTCTATGTTGAATCGGCCTTTTAATGAGCACGTTGCTGCGGTGAGTATTCGGGAGTCCAAGGCAGCTGGGCGTGGTGCCTTGCCACCTATCTCCTCGAATTGTCGTGCCGGCCTTAATAGTCGCTCGCAAACAAGGCCCGCGCCGACAGTCTGGCGAAGAATCCCTACGGAGCTCTTGAAGATCAATGCAATCCTCGGTGTCGGAGGACACGACAGAGCTACCTCCTGAAATCCTTTTCGGTGACCTCTGCCCCCAACCTGCCCCTGAGATTTAATGTTTTTTTTGCGTGGACACAATCTCTCGCACGGAGTAAACATATCGGTTTTTAAGAACGTGTCCGAATTTAGCCGCAGAACTTCATCGTGCGTGACAACTCGAAATAATCGTTGGCATTGTTGTTGAGACTGTAAATAACAATCTCTATAAGCAATGTCTCCTCACGTGTCTAGCCAACTCCACGTGATATATATAGTATTTGTTACACATCCCATCGGCTTGCACGGCTTTCTGGGCATGAATCGTTGCGGCAGCAATGTTACGAGAGGAGTAAAAAAAATCTCCTGGACCGGTTTTTGGACATTCGTACCGTACGTAGCCAGCCGTGTTAATCGGAGGTGTGGGCGTGGGGAAAGTGGGGATTGCTGGCATGTTTCATGTGATGGGTTTTATTTTTTGGATAGTCATTGACTGGGCTGACACCCACCCCCCCCCCCTCCCACCCCCAAATCGCGCTCGAAAAAATCATTGCTAGTCGCACCTCCGATGTAGAGGGACATTACTAGTCACAGGCGGCTGTCTGGATTCGAACCCAGGTTCTCTGCGGCGTCCGGCACCCAGGGCTGTGGCCTCTATCTCGCGAGAGGCGCTTCGATAATATAGCGTATGACGGGAGGTTTTTAGCTTGTTCTAGATTTGAAGTTTTCGTGACTGCAAGGATCCATACTCTTGGTTCTTTCGGTAAAGTCACGTGTGGTAAAGAAACTAAAAATAAAAGATTAAAAATAAATAAAGTTAAATCGCGACGTTCCGGGCGCAACACAAGCGTCCGTTATCAGGCGGGGGACAACCACAGCAGGAAACAATTGCTGAAGTAGTTTAACACTGCAGGCTTTCGCGACCAATATTATTCATAATGAACGTTTTTGGGGTTAGATCGCGTTATTTACAAGTGTGTCGTAACCCTCCACCACCCGACACGGCCAATCAGTAAAAAAAAAGTGTCACGTTGATAAAAGACAAAATAGTTCGCTACTTTAGCCCACCGTTGTGTTGAAGAGTGAATCCACAACATTTACAGTTTTTGAGTAGTACGACGTTTCGCTGATAATTACATCCAGCATCATCGGGCAATTCGCCTGTATATCAGGAACGACACGGTTGGACTTCTTCACAAATCTCGCCTGATGAAGCTGGTTGTAATTACCAGCGAAACGTCGTACTCAAAAACTGTAAATGTTGTGGATTCACTCATCAACACACCGGTGGGCTAAAGCGGTGAACTATTTTGTCTTTTGTCAACGTGACACTTTTTGTTGCTGATTGTGCCGTGTCGGGTGGTGGAGGGTTATGACACATAAATAACGCGATCTAACCCCAAAAAAGTTTATGACGAATTGCTCTTTCTCCCCGCCTGATGACGGACGCTTCTGTTGCGCCCGAAACGTCGTGATTTAATGAATTTATTTTCATCTTTTATTTTCATCTTTTATTTTCTTTACCTACCTGACTTTCAGTTTGTCGTTGTTTGAGAAACGTGACCAACGTTAACGATCACTTCAGAGAGGGCGCATGCAGACACGGGTTAACTTCAGCGTGTCAGTGCGGAGGGGGGGGGGGGTGGGGGTGCCTTCTGGGGTAGGCTTTCCTCCTTAAACATGGGCAGGTTATTAACGGTGTTACGAGGTTCACGTTCACATCGCCCGTCTCTATTAGCAAAAGCAAAAAACTCCCCGCGGGGAAAAATGCGCACGCTCCAGCCGGCGCTCGACGCCGCAGCTTCCCCCGCCGCTCCGTTGCCGCAGCACTACACTCCACTGCTACGCTATGCCACGATGCTACTCGGCGTCGCCACCAATACGCCGCACCACTACACCGCACTGCACCAAGACGGCGCCAGCGAGTGTAACGTCGGTTCGAGCTTCGGACTCTCCACGCGACAACTCTTATTTGTTTCGGTCGGTCGGTTGGCGGAGGAATGGGCCCCCCCCTCCCCATCTCGCCCCCTCGCTCCCTTCCCTCCCCCCCCCGAACAAATCACTCGAGAGACGCCGGGTGTACGGCAGCCAAGAGCGGTTTACGTGAACGCTGTCGCCGCGGCAGGAGTTAGAAGGATTGGGTGTTCGCCCTTTCTATTTTTTTGTCCATACCGGCAAGAAAGGTGCCATGGTGTAACGGGAGGAGGTAGGTATTCTTTGGGTCTTTCGGTAAAGTCACGTAGATGGGTTCAAAGAAAATCGCCAACAAGAATAAGGAGGTGCTGTGTAGGTAGGTCACACACGTTTGGCGCAGCGGGCAGCGGTCCTTCGCTGACTGCAAGAGATGGATGAATGAGCGAATGGGTGAATTGGATTGGATGGGGTCCGCGGGGAGAGAAAAGGGGAAGAAGATGACGGGGGGGGGGGAGCGCTGTTCAGAGCAGTTTTTCCTCGGAGTTCCGAGGTCGCGGATGAAACGGAAACGAATCTTCCACCGCGTTGCAAGCGCCGGGGCAAAATTTGTCGGCCCTGGCAGAGCGACATTTTTTTTTTTTTAATCCGCAGTCGAGGAAATTATTTACGGGCCCGCACGTCGCCGCGCAGGTATTTAAAAATTTTTCCGGGCTTAACGCGTGGTCCGAGTTGCCAAGGACACGTGCAAGGACATCTCATTCAACGCGCTGCAGACGAATGCTGAGCTCTGCTCCTCACGTGTTCACGTCAGCAGTTTGTCAGACTAGGGCGGCCGAGTGATTGATGCTGTACCGTGTGTGGGATGTACTGTACGTGAGATTAAGATGCTTGTTTTGTGTTAAAGGGGATTTCGTTTTTTTTCGGAAAGCGTTGCCCTTTTCACACGACCCATTCAGTTTGTGCTCTCCGGAGTGTGGAATTGTTGTAAGCCGTTTTAAGCCTCCTTCCGCAAAAGGCTGTGCAATCGGATTAAGGGCGACCAGCGGTTGCGTTTTGCGGATAACTGTGGCGCGTCGGGGGAAGGTTGCGTGTCCAAAGCGGGCAAAAAGCGCGCCGTGTTTTTTTTCTTTTTTAACAGATCGACAAAACAAGTGAAACCGCCAACGTCAACGCAGCCAGCATACGCGGCAGCTCGACGCGCGGCACTTTGACAACCCAAGAAGCGCGCGTGCGCGCGAAGGAACGGTGGTCCACGAGGAACGTACGGGTACGTACACGCGATGAGGTTCCGTTGTCCGGGTCCATTTTTTTGTTCTTTTGGCAACCAAAACGAAACCTCGCTCTTGACGCTTCCGGGTCGAGCCCTCTCTAGGTGGTCCCTCTGCTCTTCCCGACTCGCCTGTATTCTGTCGTGTCGATGCTGTACACCCATCCCTTTATGGGGGGGGGGGGGTGGGGCGAGGTGGGGTTCTTCAGAGCACCACTCTCTGTGCGACCACTTGTACGCAGGTGCTGGCTCTCCCGGGACCCTTTTACGACCCGAACCTTTCCGGAAGGTTCTTGCCGAGGCGGTTGCTTCCGCAAATTTGGCGGCGCCACCGCTGGCTTTTCGGCTGGGGCGGGCAGCTTGGCCACGGCGGCACCGTCCGATCGCTTCTGCTCGGCAACAGCTCCGGCCAATCCCCTTCCACGCGCACGCGAAGGGAGAAGTCTTCTCATTGCGCGGGGGGGAGAGACCCGTGTCGTGGATCCTGTTATCCCGGTGGAAAAAAGGGCGCGCCCTTGTCAATGTCCGTAACCTGCCGGAAATTGGGATGAATCTGTTGAAGATTGCGCGCGGCTTTGGAAGTTGTTCCGCATCGATCTCCTGGAGAAATGTGCGGCTCCTCTGGAATATTTGGGGAAAAAATAGGCCCTCTGATTATTGGTTGTTTTTTTTTTTGCGGCGGGTGATAAGCCAACGAGTAAGAGCGCTCCTGTAGTGCCCCTCCGGTCGTCTCCTAGCAGCACCGCAGGGCCTGCCGGTTATACACTGCCTCGAGACGGGTGGCGGATGTTGTGGTTTTGTCGCGACGAAGAATGGTCAGTTGAAGAATCCGTTTGGAAATGTCACGGAACAGTCTGTATACATTGTGCGTCGGAGAACGGCAGCTGGAGAGCATTTTGACTCTCCAGGTAAGGGCCCCACTGAGCTACGTAGCTCTTTTCCAGAAGCGACCTGGCTATCACATATGATAGCTCAATGAAGTGGCTTATCATGTAGAAATTTACAGCAGCCACGTACTCTAAACGCACGTTGATTAAAAATGTGGGCCCTACTTTCGGGCACTTTTTGTCCGACGGTCGACGAATATAATTTTTGTTTAACTTGAACACGTAGGCTTTGCGCGACCAACATTATTCATAATTGATATTCGTGTCGGATTATATGTACGTTGAACTTCTTTTGCACCATGCTAATCAAAGGGGCGCGTGGGGAGGGGGGGAAAGGGCAACAAACTAAACACAAGAAGCAGTTTTAAAGAAATGAGTTTTCAATCCTGTAATCTATAGGATTACAGGTGGTGAGGGCGACACGGGCAAGAGATGGCTTCACAGGTGGCGAGGGCGACACGGGCAAGAGATGGCTTCACGGGTGGCGAGGGCGATACGGGCAAGAGATGGCTTCACAGGTGGCGAGGGCGACACGGGCAAGAGATGACTTCACAGGTGGCGAGGGCGATACGGGCAAGAGATGGCTTCACAGGTGGCGAGGGCGACACGGGCAAGAGATGACTTCACAGGTGGCGAGGGCGACACGGGCAAGAGATGGCTTCACAGGTGGCGAGGGCGACACGGGCAAGAGATGACTTCACAGGTGGTGAGGGCGACACGGGCAAGAGATGGCTTCACAGGTGGCGAGGGCGACACGGGCAAGAGATGGCTTCACAGGTGGCGAGGGCGACGCGGGCAAGAGATGACTTCACAGGTGGCGAACACGACACGGGCAAGAGATGACTTCACAGGTGGTGAGGGCGACACGGGCAAGAGATGGCTTCACAGGTGACGAGGGCGACACGGGCAAGAGATGACTTCACAGGTGGCGAGGGCGACACGAGCAAGAGATGACTTCACAGGTGGTGAGGGTGACACGGGCAAGAGATGACTTCACAGGTGGTGAGGGTGACACGGGCAAGAGATGGCTTCACAGGTGGTGAGGGTGACACGGGCAAGAGATGACTTCACAGGTGGTGAGGGTGACACGGGCAAGAGATGACTTCACAGGTGACGAGGGCGATACGGGCAAGAAATGACTTCACAGGTGGTGAGGGCGACACGGGCAAGAGATGACTTCACGGGTGGTGAGGGCGACACGGGCAAGAGATGACTTCACGGGTGGTGAGGGCGACACGGGTAATAGATGGCTTCACAGGTGGCGAGGGCGACACGGGCAAGAGATGACTTCACAGGTGGCGAGGGTGACACGGGCAAGAGGGTTGGGAGCCGCGAGATCCGACGACACGGTTTTGGCGAAAAGCCGTCGGGAGGATGAGGCGGAGGCGAGGGTGACGCCGAGGGAGTTGACGTTTGTCGGAGGATCGGAGCGGAAGAGCCTCGGCGATTCTTTGCGCTCGAAGGAAGTGCGGGTGCGGCGAGGCTACGGACCCGATCGGGAGTTTACTCCTCCGAGAAAATCGCCCATCGAGCTGTGCGGCCGGGTGACTCGGCCAGCAGACTAACTCTCGCCGCTGCGTCTGTGGACAAGATGTAAAAAATATTTTAAATAAAGAAGTTCAGCGTACGTACACTTTCCGGTCCTTCACCTGTGAGGGCATGCCTCGTGACATCACGCGACTTATTTAAGGCCCCCGAGACTGGAGGAGATTTTCAGAGTTCTGGTGATCTGCCAGACGATGTTGGTTACAACTACCAACAAAACGTCCGTACCCAGTGTGGGTGGGGTCGCGCTCCGGCACTACCGGTGGTGTGCTTCCGAAGCGGCAATACATCGGCAACGTCTGTTGCGGTACCCCGGGGTGCCATAGTACGCCGGCTCTCGCACAAAGTCCGTGACGCAGTCACCTTTAGTCTGTTGATGGTCGGCGATGCGGCAATCGACTCGGCTGGACGAGCCGTACACTACGATGCACTTCTACGGTGTGTACGAGCGTTCGGCATCGCGGAGTGGCACTGATGTCGGATTGATCGGTACCCCCAGTCGCAGAGTTGAAGTACACCCCTGGACAAAAAAGTGTCCCAGAAATGAAATATTTAATTGCCTCCTCGGCCATTTTGTATTATTTGGTACCCCGGGGTACCGCCATGAGGATCACGTGACAAACTGATTAAAATGTTGACTGTCGGGTGGAGGAGGGTAATTACTTTTTACTCGGGCAGCAATCGATTGAGTCGTTATTTGTTTTTAAGTCTCATAGCTGAAGCAAGTGCAGACCCGAATTTCGTACGATCCTTTGTGTGTGCGTGTGTGCGTGTGTGTGTGTGCGCGTGCGCGTGTGGAGTCATTAATGACCGTGCCGGGATGTCAACTCGCTGCGCTTTACATCCAAGTTTCAACATCACGCCACGGTGGCTGGGAGATGTTGACTTTCTCGCCTGGTATGCAGGAGGTCGGGGTGGTGGTGGGGGGGGGGTTTCATCCCGACCCTGACGCCTGGTTGTATATTTGGAGTGTGCGTGTGTCTCTCTCACCGTGGGTTGTGTGGATTCCATTTGGAGTTTTTGGGGTGCTATAAATTTCCTACGTGATAAGCCGAGCTATCATTTGTGGCCGGGTCGCTTGTTAAAAAGAGCTGTGTAGCTCAGTGGGCCTTAGTTGGTAAAATATAAATAGTTCATATTTTTTTGTGCTTTTTTTTATTTTTTGTTCATAACCTTTCCTGCACTCCGGTGTGTGTGTTTTTTTTTTTGTATCGTAACTTTCTAACCTGTCCCTACTGGACAATCTGAAAAAGAGCTTTTATAGCTCAACGGATACCTCCGATTTAGCACGGTTGGCTACGTACGGTGCGAAAGACGTTCAACGTACATACAAACAAAAGATTATCATTCTGAATCCCGTCCAGCTGCCTCGGTTCGAACCCAGGGATATCCGGCGGCAGCAAGCTCATCACTCGCCACCGAGCCGCCCAGATTATTTTCGTAAAGTTGGTGTTCACCCGTCCAGTGGTTGTTAATAATTGCAACCGATTCATAATAAAGGTTTTGGGGTTAGATCGCGTTATTTATAAATGTGTCGTAACCCTCCACCACCCGACACGGCCAATCGGCAAAAAAGTGTCACGTTGACAAAGGCGAATAGTTCACTACTTTAGCCCACCGGTGTGTAGAAGAGTGAATCCACAACATTTTACAGTTTGAGTAAATGTTGTGGATTCACTCTTCAACACACCGGTGGGCTAAAGTAGCTAACTATTTTGTCTTTTGTCAACGTGACACTTTTTTGCCGATTGGCCGTGTCGGGTGGTGGAGGGTAACGACGCATTTATAAATAACGCGATCTAACCCAAAAACCTTTTTATTACGAATAATATTGGTCACGGAAGCCTACGTGTTAAACAGAATTGCAACCGAAATATGCAGAGATGGTAGATTGTCAAATACCGACCTATGTAATTTCCCCCCCCCCCTCTTCCGATAAACCTAGTGGTTGGAAGGAATGCTTATTTGCCCAGGAGAGCAGGAAATCGTGCGTCACTCTACAAAGAGCTGACCTGTGGCACCGCGCGGGGTCAACCCCCACAGAGGCTGACGCCGCACGCGTCCGTTTACTTTACTTGGGGGGGTGAGGGGCACCACGGCGGTGAGATGTTGACTACTCGCCTGGTGTGCAGGAGTCACGGGTTCGATCCCGACCCTTTGTGGGGAGCGGTGGTGCAGCGGTTCGCGCTACGAACCCGGCGACCCGGGTTCGATTCCCGCTCGCGGCCGACACCGGTGACGATTAACCGAACTGGGACTCCTCTAGGTCGACTCCGCCTCAAATGAGTACCTGCGGTGGTGTGCAAACACGACGGTGTCCGGGCGTGGTGTTGGCCACCCCCCCACCCCCTCGTGTGCCGTTCTGGCTTTCATAGCTGCTCGCTAACGGCACTTGCCCCCCAAACAGTCTGTTAAGGCTACACGGGGGGATGTTTTTTTTTATTTTAGCGTGCATGTTCTCCCCGTGGTCGCGTGGATGTTCTCTCCGGGTCCTCCAGTTTTTTCCCTCCCACATTTTAGAATCCACATCGCGCGTTCAGCTCGGTGCGTGATGACACGCAGGTGGGT